TTAACTACTTTTATGAACAACACGAACAGCACATTTCTGTAAACGAAAGAGCGGTAAAGTGTCGGCCTTACAAGCACAGCACCCCACACGTCAATGCAATAGATCAGATCTGGAACAATCAACAAATTATACAACAAAAGCAAAGCATTCTTTGAAAGCAAAGTGAATCTTTGACCTTATGTATTACGGCAGTAGTTTAGGATTCCTTTGATTTAACGTGTTCTATCTGGATTTTCCAGGTTAAATGTTCATAACATCTAAAAAAAATTATTTCATTAGTCCTTTCAATCTCTGTTCCCTGCACAGTAAATGCTACCTGAGCATATATATTCCTTCAACAAAAAAGCATATATTTAGTTTTGCAATAATTTAAAGACAATCTGTTTGCGTTGAACCACTTCATAATTTTCTGAAACTTATTCTCTATGACTCTTATTAAATCATTTTTATCCATCCATTCATTTTCTAATCCGGTTATCATCACGAGGGTCGCGGGCATGCTGGAGCCTATCTCAGCCGTCTCCGGGCAGTAGGCGGGCTACATCCTGAACTGGTTGCCAGCCAATCACAGGGCACACATAGACAAACAACCATCTGCACTCACACTCACACCTAGGGACAATTTGTAGTGTTCAATTAACACGCGATGCATATTTTTGAATGTGGGGGTTGGGGGAGCGAAGTAAACGCATGCAGGCACGGGACAGGGAGAACATGCAAACTCCACACACACGAAGGCCGGAACTGGAATCAAACCCTGCACCTCTGCACTGTGAGGCCGACACACTTACCCAGGGGTCGGGAACCTATGGCTTGCAAGCCAGGTGTGACTCTTTTGATGATTGTATCTGGCTCACGGATAAAACAAAATATTCTCGCTTGTTTAATCCATCCATCGATTTTTCACTGCTAATGTCCTGTTCAGGGCTGCAATTGGCAGCAGGAGCAATTTTAATTGGATGATACTGGCCTACGTTGGCCGTTGCTGGGGTAAACAGCAATGGGTAAACGCCCCCTTTTGAATCAGCCCACTCTGTCATTCGCTCAAAGCTAATCCTTCGACGAATAAAATGGCGAAAAGAAAAAAATGATGACAAGTATGGTACACTTCAGGACGAATGGACCAAAGGATTCGCCTTTGTGGAGAGAACAGGTTCTGTGGTCTGTCTAATTTGCAATGACAAACTACCATCGATGAAACGGTCGAATGTGAAGCAGCACTTTGACATGCGCCATGCTACGTTCGCATCAAAATACCCAGCAGGAGAGAGCAGAAAGGAAGCGTGCAAGCTACTGAGCATGGTGCAAGACAGCGAGCAGCAACTCCGCATATGGACCCGGCAAGCTGACTATAATTCCGCTATGAATTGAAAACCTTTCACATTAATGGTATTTTAACAAAATTATTTAAAAGAATACATTCAGAGGCTTATTATACTGACATTGTGTTGAATTCACTCAACAGTTTGATATATATGTATGTATGTGTGTGTGTGTGTGTGTGTGTGTGTGTGTGTGTGT